GGGTTGGGTAGTGGGTGATTTGATTTGGGTTTGGGTTAATTGGGTTGGGTGTTGGGTAGAATGGGTTGGTAGAATATGGGTTTGGTGAATATGGGTTGGGTGAATATGGGTTGGGTGAATATGGGCTTTGGTGGATATAGGCTTGGGCTAGTGGGTGGGGTGTGTTGGGCCGTGGCCCAAGTAGGCCAGGGTTAGGGGAGGGAACTGTCCAGGAGGGGTAGCCTAGAGGTTGCCGTTGATTGCCGCCGCCGCCACGACCGTGACCGCCGCCGCGACCCCTGCCGCGATTGCTGCCTCCACTGCCACCGCTGGAATTCCTGCCGCGTCCGCCGTAGCCGCCGCCATATTCGCCGTCAAATCCGCCGTTGCCGCTGCTCCCAGACCTGCCGTAGCCGCTGCCTCGGTCTCGCTGGTATCCGCTGCCCGTTTGTCTGCCGCCGCCGCCGGTGCTGAGGAGGGTTGTGGACGGCGAGCCGGCGCCATACATGGCGTTTGCTGTCAGTGGAGAAGAGGATTAATTGGTTGGACCAAAAATCGTAACCCTCCCCTAATTATGCTGAAGAGGAGAATTAGGTTTGCTGCTTTTCGACGAAGAAGAAGAACTGGCCGTGAGGGGGGGGGGGGGGCGAAACAGAGAAGAAGAAAATTGGGGTTGGAGAGGGAGCTGTGATTTTGATTTTTGCTCTGATACCATGAAGAATGAATATTTTCACATGCATTATTATGTGAGATTACATGTGTATATATACAAGAGTTTCCTAATGATAATAGGAAACAGTATTAATTACACCCTATACAATTATGGAAGCTACCAATATACATTAATATTAAATATAGTAAGAATATATTTAACAATTATAACAATTAAATGAGAGTACTCTTAGACCTCAAATAATATTGTGAAATTTACTCGAAGTAGTACCAAAACTTAACATTTTTTCCTAAATGGCAACATACTAGTTTTTTTCCAAAACTAGCAATATGTTAATTAATTATTAATAATACATATTTACTAAAACGCCCTTGTATCTTAATTATTTTATACTCTGTATAAAATATAGACTCTATTTTTTTCGCCCTTTGATCGAATTACTCTATCTTTGATTCGTCTGATTATATTTTCTTTTTGATGGACACTATAAAAATTAAAAATATTATTTGGTGATCGAGGATATTGATGACTAATACAGTGGACATCTATAATAACGATTATATTATTGAATTCACTTCACATCATCATGGAGGAGGACGTGGTGGAACGGGTAAATTTCACAAATGGTACCTGAACTTTAGCTGGAATTCCGAAGTAGTACCTGAACTTCAAATCCTTTCACAAAAATCCCTGAACTTACATTGATGGCTATAAACCACCGAGAGTATGAAATAATATAAAGTTTTAGAGAGAGAGAGAGAGTGCGCAAAGTGGGAGTATCTTGAATTCAAAATTCGGTCCCATTACAATGAGGGGTGCCACCCCTTTTATAGGGGGTAAAATACACTAAGTCAAAGCCCTCTGATCGAGGCCCGTCGTTTAGCGGACGTCACCTGTCCTTAGGTCTTGTCCCTTTCATCCTATCGCTTTCACCAAGTCTTCGTTGAACGTCGTTTTCCGCCCGTCTTGTCCCTTTCATCCTATCGCTTTCCTCAAGTCTCCGTTGAACGTCACTTTCCGCATGCCATTGTCGTGGGGCTCGGGCTCGGCTTGGTCGGCCGAGCAGGGAGGACAAGCAGAGCGTAAAGCCGGGCAGGAATGACGAGGGGAGCGCAGAGCCGGGCAAGAAGTTTGGCGGGCATTTGGAAATTTACGCTGATGTCAGCCCTAGGCCGGTGTGGGGTTATTCCCCATCAGAAGCCCCCCACTCTCCGGGTTCCACGGCACCTAGCAGTGGAGCGCGTGAGAGTAGAAAACACCGTGTTCGGTCAGCTCGTGGGCCCATGCGTAGCTTGGCGGGCAGGCGGTGACGCTTGGAGTTCCCCGCGTACGGTTATGGCGCTTTGCTTCTCCCAATCAGCGGCCTAACCGTGGTACTTGCTTGGCCCATCACTATTTGGGCCCAATTTTAGTATAAATAACCCCAAAGCTTCCTTCATTCTCACCAATTCTAGAGATAGAAAACATTAGGGTTTGGCTTCACTCGCTGTGCCGCGCCGCCGCTCTCTGCCTCCCTGTTCACGCGTCGTCGTTCGTCGTTTCCCGCTCTCCCCCGGCGACGCTCCTTCGAGGTCAGTTCTTCTGCCTGCTATTTCATGTCTATCGCGTCGTCCCCTGTTCACACGTCCGATGCCGAGCGCGAGCTTGGGCCCGGCAGTCGGGGTTCCGTGGCCCAGGGCGGCCGATCGGAGCAGCCGGGTTCTCCGTCCCTCAAGGAGGTTGCGGTTGTTGAGGTGCCCGGGGTTAGCGACCATCGCCTCCAGAGGCGCACCTTGCTCGTGGACTCGCTCATCCGCGAGTGCAAGTGCGACTTGTCGAGTGACGAGTTTCTCAGGGCGATGCGCTACGCCGGCCCCCTTGTCACCGTCCGTCGCCCTT